AACCCAACCCTCCCAGTCCCAGTGCATGGGCACGACATCTGCGCGCGGGACTCGCCACCTGGTGTACACTGACAGCACGATAACATCCGCGCCGCACAGCCCCGCAGAAACGCCAGCGGCAAGCTTCTGAGACGGTGGCGCCGTCACGCTGGCCGCTCTAGGGCAAAACAGCGAGCACTCCATGAGCTCTTGCAGGATTGCAGCGGCCCTTCCTGCAGCCACCCGCGCGGCAGCGTCCCCCAGGCGCGCCGCGGTCTGCCGAGGATCGCGCAGTGGGCTGCTAGCTTGCGGCGCGCTCGCAGGCTCGGCGGCGGAGCCTCAGCCCACCGAAGCCCGAACGGCAACCGCGCGGGACGCCCGCGCTTGCAGCTGGGTGGCCGTGGCCCTCCGCGCGCTGGCGTCTGATCGACTCTTTCGCGGCGACCTTATTGCCCACGGCGCACGGACAGGCATGCGGCGAAACCGCTGCAGGCTCGGCGGACGGGCGGCTTCAGCTGATGGTCCTCCAGGGAGGAATGGATCCCACACGGCATCCTGCCCCACGTCGCCCACCTCCGGGTGGAGGTGGGGATCGGTTGCAGCCAATTGCGGGCGCGCCCGGGGGCTCTGGCTGCGGCCCGCCATGGGTTGAGCCCACATGGCTACGGATGCTTCTGATGCTGGCGATGACGAGGTTATGTACATGACTTTCTCCTCCTTTTCTTCCTTCTCCCACTACTCATGCTCCTCTTGCGACTCCCGCAATCACTCGTGGACGCCATCCTGGAGCTATCTGGGTTCATCTTGGTTTGCTTCCGAGGTTATGTAGGAACAGCGTCGCGCGGTCAAGCCAGCGACCGAAAGGACCGACGACGCATTTTTGGGACCGACCAAGCCTTGTGGGTCCCTTCAGTCGGCGGCTGAACGGACCTTGAGGTCGCTTGGGGGGGGCTGGACTGCTGTGGGGCGTCCACGCCGCTACGCCGCTACACCGCTACACCATTACACCGCTGCACAATGACAATGGGCTGCGACGGAGCAGATCAGCCCCCGTAGACGTCCAGACCCCTAGCTTGGCTCATCGCGTGGCCTAGCCAGCGACCAAAGGGACCTACAAATTATCCCAGTGCGACCCTACCTAGGAGTTGGAGCATTTAGGAAAGCAACATCTACATCTACACCGACAGCTACATTTACATCTACATCTACACCGACAGCTACATCTGCTATACTATGCTATGATATGCGATGATATGCTATAAAAAGATATGTTATGCTGCGCTATGTTATGCTATGATATGCGGTGCTATGCTGCGCTATGCTTTGTTAGGCTATGCTAGGGCACGCTCGGCTGCGCTAGGATATGCCATGCTATGCTATGATATGCTATGATATGCTATGATATGCTGCGCTATGCTATGCTATACTATGCTATGCTGCGCTATGATAGGCTATACTATGCTGCGCTATGCTGTGATATGCTATGATATGATATGATGCATTATATTATGATATGCTATGCTATGCTATGCTATGCTGCGCTGTGCTATGATATGCTATGCTATGTTATGCTGTGCTATGATATGCTGCGATGTGCTATGCTAAGCAATGCGATGCAATGCTATGCTATGCTATGCTATGCTATGCTGCGCTATGCTATGCTATGCTATGCTGAGCTATGCTATGCTATGATTTGCTATGATTGGCTCTGCTATGCTATGCTATGCTGTGCTGATGCTGCGCTGCGCCATGCTGCGCTGCGCTAAATTAAGCTAAGGTAAGCTAAGCTGTGTTAACCTAAACTGAGCTAAGCTCAGCTGAGCTAAACTAGGCTAATTAGGCTATGCTAAGCTAAACTAAGCCAAGCCAAGCCTAGCCAAACTAAACTAAGCTAAACTAAGCTAAGCTAAGCTAAGATGAGATAAGCAAAGCTAAGCTAAGCTAAGCTAAACTAAGCTAAGCTAAGCTAAGAACAGATAAACTAAGCTAAGCTAAGCTAAACTAAGCTAAGCTAAAGCTAAGCTAAGCTAGGCTAGACAAAGCTAAGCTGAGCTAAGCTAAGCTAAGGTAATATGAGATATGCTAAGCTAAGCTAAGCTAAACTAAGCTAAGCTTAGCTAAGCTAAGCTGGGTGAACCCAGGGGGCGCGACTGGGGGAACAGCGGGGCGGGGACTGGGGGAACCGCCCGGGGCGCTTTGCAATGCCCGGCCCCTTTAAGCTAAGAGAGTAAGAGCCCTCTAGCCAGAGCCTAGGTAGGGAATCATTTGTTTTGAAAACTTGCTTTGGAGGTCCCTTCGGTTGGCGGCTGAACGGACCTTGGGCTGGACAACTGTGAAGCGTAACGTGGCTCGCTGCGGGTAACATTGTAACGGTGTAAAGGTGTCACGTTACACCGTTGCGGCTAACGGTGCAACGGTGTAACGGTGTAACGCTACACCGTTGCCGCTAACGGTGTAACGGTGTAGCGGTGTAGCGTTGCACCGTGGCGGCTAACGGTGCAATAGGTAGCGCTACACCGTTGCACCGTTAGCGTAACGGTGTAACGGTGTAGCGGTGTAGCGTTACACCGTTGCGGCTAGCGGTGTAACTGTGTAGCGGTGCAGCGCTACACTCTCAGCGTCAGGGTGTAACGGTGTAACTTTGCACCGTTCGCGTAACGGTGTAACGGTGTAAGCAAACATTAAAGTTACCCATATTCCCCCCCACAATGGGTTTTTGACAAGGACGGCGGGGGCGGTGGCGTATGGCCTGCTGTGCGTCGGCCCACCAGACACAATGATGGGCATTGCTTTTCGACAAGGATGGTGGGGGACAACATGTTTCCCGATGTATGCTGTCACGTGCGCAGGCGCACCCAGCACACGCTGCACGTGCCCCGAACGTGGCGCACCTGGGGCGGCTGGAGTATGCAGCAAACCTGGCGCACGCGGAGCATGTGGCGCACCTGGCACACCATGCGTGCCTGGCACGATCAGGTCCCAGGGGTGCCTGGCACGCCTGGCGCGCCTGATACGCGTGGCGCACCTCGCCCCAGCGTCGCGCACATGGGCTCGGTTTTTGGTTCCCAGTAGCTGTCCATGTCCATCCAAAGACGACCGCTGAACATGCTGAGGATCGGGTGTTACTATTGTGTTGGGAGGGCGGGTAGGGATGAGCTAGACGGCGTGCTATCTGGAGGGTGTCTTGACCCCTCCAACTACCTCGGCCCCTGGGCCTGGGGGGGGAGCGGAGGGGTTAGAGCGTCCAAGATGGCCGAACATAATTCGAAGAGGATCTCAAAGAGCCTGCGAGTGCCTCCAAGATGGTTCAAGACACCTCAAAATTGCCCAAGATAGCCTCCGACAAACATCCAAAAGGCCTCAAGGTGGCGGCAACCTGGCTCGAAAACCTAAGGAAAATCACTGTGGTTTGCCTTCTCGCCTTTGCGCTTCCGATGGGCTCTTGAGGCCTTGCGATGGCCCCACGACGGCCCAAGAGAGCCCCAAGAGGGGCCCAAGAGGGCCCCAAGAGCGCCCAAGAGCGCCCCAAGGCAGCCCCCAAACGCCATTGTTGAACCTCCGAAGGGGGGCTGAATGTATTCCCCCCCTCTTTTTGAACATTGTGCTCACGATTGCCTCAAGAGGCCTCCCTGACCCCCCCAAAGAACCCCAAGAGGGCCCCTATGCCCCCCAAAAGAGCCCCAAGAGGGCCCCAAGAGTGCCCCAAGTGGCTCCGAGAGCCCCAAGAGTGCCCCAAGATGGCTCCAATAGACCTCCGAGAAAACACTTCCAAGGCGGCTGTTACACTGCATGCTTCTATACTTCCCTGATCAAAGCATGTCGCCTGGCGATCTGTTTCTAGATGGGCTGGTGGGGATACTTTTTTGATTGCGAGTGACGCGGAAGAGGCCGCGCACCGTCAACAGGGTCGATCAACGGAACAAGGAACAGGCCACTACGCGGACAGCGCAAGTGGGACGATGACAGCACGAGGCGGAAGAGGGAGAGACGGGACGAAACAGAACAAGAGGCGAAAAGAAAAGAGAACACGACAGAGAGAGAGAAAAGAAACGCGCCGCAGCTCAGGCTCAGGCCACGACGAAGACGAACGCTGGTGGGGATACTTTTTGATTCGCGGCCCGCAAGGAAAAGTCCAGAGGGCGGTGTGAACGAGGCTGGGGCACAGCGCACGGGAATGCAGATAATTAACGGCGCAAGACAAGTGCCGGCCGAAGAGGCAACCGCGAAAACGCCAGCTGAAGCCCGGGCGCCACCACGCGACCACCAAAAGCCGCTGAGCGTGTGCCAGCAGAGGGTGGAAAATTAGAGCAGACAGTTAGCGACGCTGGCACAGTGCCAGCCGAACAGGCAGCCGAGAAGGCACCAGCAGATAATTAACAACGCTGGACATGTGCCAGCAGAAGAGGCAACTGAGAAGATACCAGCAGAAGCCCTGGGCTGGTGGGGATACGCGAAGCGTTTAGAATTCAGATCAGGGTAGGCCCGCGCTACGCTGGAGCCTCAGGAGCCGATGAAAGTTGCGACAGTTCCGCACATCGCAGCCCCACAGCGACGGCGAGGCTGAGAGCTCGGAGACATGAGAAGGAAGCAGGAGAGAAGCGGGAGAGGGAGGAGGAGGCAGCATTGCACGAATCAAACCGAGAACCCCAACACAGGAGAGTTGGGAGTTAGCTGCTGTCCTGATCTGGGGTGGCTCGGCCTGGTGGCTGGCGGCAAAGGACCCAGCCCCTCAGACGACACCTATCATCGTGGCCTCCAAGGCTCCACCTTGGGGCTACTGAATGGCGTCGCCAAGCGAACCACTGGCAACGCCAGCCTTGGAGGGAGAGGGCGAGGGGGACGGTCGCTCTACCAATCGCAGGTGCCTGCCTGCGCGTCGGCGGCCACTTGCGGCAGGCCGACACGGCCAGACACGGCCGTGCTGGAGACGACAAGGAAGGAATGCGGAGGCGGATGAAGGGGGGGAGGCTGCGAATGCCTTGCAGCGAGGCCCGAGAGCGTTGTCTGCCCAAGAGGACGGCCTACCGCAGCATGCCCACAACCTTTCCGGCGCGCGCCGTCCAGCTGCTCTCCTCGAGCTGGGTCGTGGCCTCCGCCAGCCGCTCAGTGCACTGGTGCGCCGAGGGGCGCGCGTCCGCGCGTCGATGCCAGCAGTCCTGCACCAGCTGCCGCAGCCTCGCGGGCGTGGACCTGCTCCCGCCCATGAGGCCGCCGGCGCTGCTGAAGCCCGGCCGCGGCTCGTTGCCCCGCAGGTAGTCCCTCAGGACGAGCTCCGCGTCTGGCCCGAACTGGTCCACGAACGGCTGGAGCCCGGTGCTCATGAACCACATGATCAGCGCGAAGGAGTAGATGTCGGCCCTGTCCGTGTACTGCTCTGCGCGCACCACCTCCGGCGCCATGTAGCGCCACGTGCCCACGCCGCCCGTCATCATGGGGGCGCGGTCCGCCGACTGGTCCGCAAGGGTCGGTCTGACGATCTTGCTGATGCCGAAGTCGGTCACCTTGAGGTCGTTGTTCTTGGTTAGGAGCAGGTTCATGGGCTTGAGATCCCTGTGGATGATCGGAGAGGAGCAGTTGTGGAGAAAGCACAGCGCCCTCGCAACGGCGCTCGCCCACCTGAGAAAGAGCCTCACGTCGGGCCTGTAGGGACAGCCCCGCTGGCAAGCCTTCCTGTCGTAGTAGCGGTCGAGGTCCCCGCCCTCCATGAACTCGGAGATCAGGAAGGGCTGCGCGCTGTAGATGCAGGCTCCGAGGAACATCACCAGGTCAGGGTGCCGCATTGTGGAGAGGATGCTGATTTCGTGCAGCACCTCCCTGATGTCGATCCCCTCCTCCTCCGGCGCTGCGCCCTCGCCCCCGTTATACTTCAACAGAGTCTTCGCCACCACCTTGATGCCCCTCCACTCCGCCACGTGCACGGCGCTCTTCAGAGTCTTGGCAATCACGGGGCCGAACTTGACCTCCTTCTCCTGTATCATCCAATTCATCGTGCTAGCGCTGGTCACCCGAGCAAATCCCCCGACCTGGCCGGGCAGGGCAAAGCTGGTGTCACCGACGGAGGACGTCTTTTCCCCGGATCCGCCACTGCCCTCCTGCAGAGCCTTCAGCAACAAGGTCGCGACCTCCTCGTGCTGCTGACTTATCGCGGACGAGAGCGCAGTATTCCCAAAGTTGTCTCTGTGCCTCACGTCGGCCTTTAGGCCCAGAAGGTCTCTCACAAGGTCATGGTGCCCGTACGCAGCGGCGACGTTCAGGGCGATGCGGCCGTCGTAGTCTGTGGCGTTGACGCGGGCACCATCGGCGATCAGGCGGCGAACGGCTTCGGCATCGCCCGCCGCCGCGGCGCAGCACAGCTGCAAGCCAGCCGAGTCCGCCTTGAGCTCCGCCTGCTGGGTTGCACCCATCCCGGGGCTGTCGCTCAGCGTGGAGCTGTTCGAGACCACGCCCGGCCTCGCCATGTCCGACTTGCGGTCCAACCCCTCCTCGCGGCCGCGCGGCTTCAACCCGTGGTCCCCACCGGCTGCTCGCAGGGCCGCCACGATGTCCGTGAAGCTGTTGTCCGCGGCCCCGTCCAGTGGCGTGTGGCCCCACCTGTCAGTGGTGGTGACATCGGCTCTGGCCGAAATCAGGAGCTCCACCGTGGATAGGTGGCCCTCGGCTGCCGCGATGTGCAGTGCTGTCCGGCGGTCGTAGTCCGAGAGGTTCACCGACACGCCCCTGGCCAGGAGCCTCCTCATGACGGCGTTGTCGCCCTCGGACGCCGCGAAGCACATCTGGGACGCCGCGCTGGCCTCCTGGTCGGCCGACACCTTCTCGGCCGGGGCAGGCTCCGAACTGCTGTAGCGCTGCGAGGGTCGGCACGCCGACTGCCCCATGGCAAACTCGGGAGCGGCCAAGAGGGGGGTGTCCAAGAGGGGGGGGTGCAAATCATGACCGGCGGTATGCGCGCGGCCCAGCGGGGGGGGTCAGGGACGTAATGGAATGAGAAGAGGCGCCATGAAATCTGAGGAAATATCATGGCCCCCGCCATGATTGAAGGGGCCCTGGGACACACAAATAAATACAGACAAATAAAAAGATTCCATTTTTTTTTTTTTTTAATATGTTCTGGGTTTTTGTCTTCCCCCCCACTTCCCATATTTTCGCATATTTTCCTGGGGATCGACGGTTCATTGTGTCTGTGTGTGTTTTTCCCCTCCTGAATTATATCCACCCCCCTTAGCCATCACCCCCCTCTTTCCCGCCCCATGGCAAGCCGGGCTGCCGCAGGACCACCCGGGGCAGCTCGATCCTCTCGAGCAGCTCAGACGGCGAGGCTCTGCGCGGCTGCCCCCGGCATCGCTCGCAGGCTTTCAGGCCATCGCTCGAGACAGCTTTTGGGCCCAATGGGCTACGGACGTAAAATTCTGCGCGGGCTTGAGAGAGCAGGGCTCGCCCCGCGGCTCGCAGGCAGGCTCCAAGCTCATCGCAGCCTGACTTCTGTTGCGCATGGGTCCTGTTTCTCTCTCTCTCTCTCTCTCTATATATATATATACATATATATATAAATATAAATCACGTCTCGCCCTCTCCCTCTCTTTCTCTCTCTCTCTCTCTCCCTATATATATATAAATCACGTCTCGCCCTCTCTCTCTCTCTCTTTCTTTATTTGTCTCTCTCTCTCTCTCTCTCCTCTCTCTCCCTTCCTCTCTCTCTCTCTGTCGCTGTCTCCCTTCTTTCTGCATCCGTGGGCGTGGTCACGCCCAGGGTGATCGACACGCGCCCGCGCTCTCCAGCACGCGCGGGGATCAGATCTCTTCGGTCGATCGGCGATCAGAAGCTTGTTCACACTTTCTCGACCCGAAATCCTGAAGGGGCCCTGGGACACACAAATAAATACACACAAATAAAAGGATTCCCCATATTTTCTCATATTTTCTGGGTTCCTGTCTTCCCCCCCACTTCCTATATTTTCTTATATTTTCCTGGGAGACGACGATTAATTGTGTCTGTGTGTTTTTCCCCTCCTGAAATCCGTCTGCAAGACAACATCAGGCCAAATGTGAAATTGTTATATGAAGTTGACCCCTCGCCACGGGGAGGCCTTCCCAGGAGCATCACAGAAGGCAGCCTCAGTCGCTGAGGGCAACTGCAGCTCGTGGCAGAAGCTGAGGGCAGTCGCCTGACAGCAGCACGCGAGGGCAAACATCGGCAGCGTCAGCGTCCACTGACAGGTCTTGCTCGAAACGCACAGCCCCTCTTGCACTGATCGGTCCGCTGGCGCTGCCCCTTGCACTGACCGGCGGGCTGGCACCGAGGAGCACGCTGCAGGGACTGCAGCGGGGAATACGACACAGCGGAAACCCGCACTCCAAGGGTATCCGCTCGCAGCGCCACCGTACGTTGCGTCTGCGCCGGCTGCAGCCGCTTGGTGCCGCGCCCTTGAGCCGGAGTCAAAGCGCGGGAGCCGCGGCCAACAGTACGAGACGGGGATTTATCCATATCCACCGCCTGGAAACCGACGTCCTGGTGCCCCAGCGGGCGGTGGACATGGACATATTCCGGCCCCCAGGAGCCCGAATATGTCTACATCCACCGCCTGCCGAGGCTCCAAAAACTGACCCTCCCGGCGGAGGTCATATGTATAAATTCCCGCATCGGAAACAGGCGGGCCATCACCGAACCGACGCCAACAGAGCTCTCTTAGTGATCTGCAAAGGATCGACTCGTTTCCCTAAGCGTTCCCTCGGCGTTCCCTAAGCTTTCCCCAGGGATCTGCCAGGGACCCACTCGGTTCCCTAGGCGTTCCCTAAGCGTTCCCTGGGCGTTCCCTTAGGATCTGCCAGGGATCCACTCGGTTCCCTAGGCGTTCCCTAAGCGTTCCCTGGGCGTTCCCTCAGGATCTGCCGGGGATCGACTCGGTTCCCTATAGGCGTTCCCTAAGCGTTCCCTGGGCGTTCCCTCAGGATCTGCCGGGGATCGACTCGGTTCCCTATAGGCGTTCCCTAAGCGTTCCCTGGGCGTTCCCTCAGGATCTGCCGGGGATCGACTCGGTTCCCTATAGGCGTTCCCTAAGCGTTCCCTGGGCGTTCCCTCAGGATCTGCCGGGGATCGACTCGGTTCCCTATAGGCGTTCCCTAAGCGTTCCCTGGGCGTTCCCTTAGGATCTGCCAGGGATCGACTCGGCTCCCTGGGCGTTCCCTGGCGTTCCCTCGGGATCTGCCGGGGATCGACTCGGCTCCCTGGGCGTTCCCTTGGCGTTCCAGGCAGGCCAGCTGCACGCTCCGCTCGTGCAACCGGCCCGGCCTCCGGCGCCAATGCTGCGGGTGGCCACGCCGGCCGGCAGCCCTCGGCCGCGCCTCTTTTTGAAGGGGCCCCAGGACACACAAATAAACACACGCAAATAAAAACATTCCCCATAGTTTCCCATATCTTCTGGGGTTCTGTCTTCCCCCCCACTTCCCATAGTTTCCCATATTTTCTGGGGAATCGAGGATCAATTGTGTCTGTGTGTTTCTTTTCCTCCTGACTCTTCGCCCTGCGATCTGCGGCGCGCCGCTGGAGACGCGCACCCCCCCTTTGTGCGCCTTGCCGACGGGCTGTTCCGCGACAGGCGTGTTCGTGGGGGCGTGGGCCCCAGCAGCGGCTCGAGCCCGAAGAGCTATAGTCTCCTCCTCCTCCTCCTCCTCCTCCTCCTCCTCCTCCTCCTCCTTCCTTTTCTCCTCTTCGTAGTCCTTACTTCCGCACTCCCTTCTCCAATCCATCCTCGCCCCGCACGTGGTGCGCTCGACCCGCTTACTCATTTTCTCCTAACAAAAAGCACCCCAAGGGTATCGCCCATCGCTGGGCCTCCACATAATTACCTATACGACCACCCTTCGGGTCATAGGGAGGTTGGGGAGGGAGGGAACACCGACTGACGACAACTTCGATGACTTTGATGGCGACGAGGCAGCGACGATGCACGATGATGTTAATGGTGAGAATGCAGAAGGGCGATCTCACTTTCGATCTCACCGACGGGACATCCCTCGCCACCGACAGGGTATCGATCTCACAATCGGTCTCACGATCGATCTCACTATCGACCTCACCACAGATATCACTATCGATCTCACTTTTGAGCTCACTATCGGTCTCACGATCGATCTCACCATCGATCTCACGATCGATCTCACAATCGCGCCACCGACGGGGCACCCCCCGCCACCGACGGGGCACCCCCGCACCACTGACGGGGCTCCCCCGCGCCACCGGCGGAGCACCCCCGCACCACCGACGGAGCACCCCCGCACCACCGACGGGGCACCCCCGCAGCACCGGCGGGGCACCCCGGGGCCACCGCGCGCCCGAGGGCGGGGCGGTCAAACGGATCCACGGCCCCTGGCCACGGCGGTATCATTCCTGTCGCACGCCCGCGCAGAGTCGCCTCGCCCGCACGCAAACCTTTCCTCCTGCCCCCCACCACCTTCCTCCCACTTCTAATCGTGGAGGGCGCTAGAACTGGCGGCCTGCAGCCGAAAGCGGTCGCGGCAGATAGGAGGCACGCAAGCAAAGAACCGAACAGACACAACGCATGTACAGTCGGGGCGCTGACCTAAGGAACCCTAAATCCGCCGACCCTGTCGGCGTGTGTGAGGGGCTTCCCCGTTCGACTCGTCGTCTCCGTCGTCTCCGTTCTCCCCCTCCCAGGGCTCTCCTCCTCCTCAAGCGCGCTATCCAAAGCGAAATTAAACGACGTCGTGGTGGAGTCGAAGGAAGCCCCTTCCCTTTGATCCCTTCCCCGCAGGGGGGGGGGGGGGGGGGGGGGAGGGGGGGGGGGGGGGGGGGCCGGGGCAGATACGACGCCCGCCGGGGCGCACTTTCCTCGAGCGGGCACGCACGGGATGCACTTCCTCCTCCTCCTCCTCCTCCTCCTCCTCCTCCTCCTCCTCCTCCTCCTCCCTCCTCCTCCTCCTCCTGCTCCTCTCCTCCTTCTCCTCCTCTCCTCCTCCTCCTCCTCCTCCTCGCAGAGGCGTCCCGGGAGCGGGCCCCGAGTCAAAATACCACCCCCCTAGGGCGCATTTTCCTCGAGCGGGCACGCCCGAGATGCACTTCTTCCTCTTCCGGGAGCACGTCCCAAGTCAGAATATCACACTCCCGGGGCGCACTTTCTTCGAGCGGGCACACAAAGGATGCACTTCCTCCTCCTCCTCCTCCTCCTCCTCCTCCCTCCTCCTCTCCTCCTCCTCCTCCTCCTCCTCCTCCTCCTCCTGCTCCTCCTCCTTTTCCCTCCTCCTCCTCCTCCTCCTCCTCCTCCTCCTCCTCCGCTTCCTCCCCCCACTCCTAGCCCTTTCGATCAGGGTCGGCGGCACCGGCCGTCAGGCCTCTCCAATAAGGAACGAGGCCCCTATTTTTCATAAATTGAACTTCGATTTCGTATCGGAAACCTAAGGAAAATCCAAGGCAAGCTGCGAAACACTTAAGTAACACGGAGCCCCTCCCCAACGAAAAGGGTTCCTTCTTCAGGGCCCCGACTGTAAAGCATGGGTGATAGGACTGGAGAGCGAAGGCGAGAGGCACACTGACACTGCACCACCAGTTTCTCCCCATCGCCAGTCCTTTGGGCTTCGCTCCACGTGCCAGTGCGATCGCCGCCATCGTGGCCTTGGTACTGCGACAGGCCAACTCATCAGCAAATATGCACATACTAATTGGACTTTGATCTGACAGCATGCTTGGACTTTGCAGTTCCGAGCTCTGTTTTCTTCGGCCTTCGAACTTACATGGGCGTAGGACAATGAAGAGACCAGAGATCAAAATTATGTCGAAGGGAAGAGGTGCATGAGGGGAGGGTTGGAGAGGAAGAGGAGGAGGAGGAGGAGGAGGAAGAGGACGAAGAAGATGAGGATGAGGTTGAGGAGAAGGATGAGGATGAGGAGAAGGAGGAGGAGGAGGAGTCCCATCGAGAGGGACTACAGGCCACATGTGTTCAGAAGCGCCAGCTGGCGCTCTTGCTCAGTAGGCGGGCGGGCGTTGTACAACACGTTGTAGCTCGGGTGCGTACTGGCGGCGGCAGATTGACGCGCTGGGCAGCCACGCAAGCAAGGGCAAGTGCAACACCTAGCAGGAAAGGCCACCATCGCACAGCGCGATGCTTGAGGAGGCTGTAGGCGTGGTAGAACGTGGCCATGCGGGCCACACACAGTACGGGGCCATCTGTTCCCTTTGTTTTCGCCGTGCGCCGAGCGGTCAGCTGATGTCGGAGCACTCCCCCCAATATGTCAGGTACAACCCGTCGCCCTTCTGGCACCGCGTGAGCTGGATGCACTGCGCGTGCGCGTTCCCGCCATGCCGCCGCGAGGTCGCGCCATCCTCGAAGCGTGACCTCCGCAGTCCTCCGAGCCGCAGCCCAAGTTGCAGGCAGCAGCGCCGCCATCGTGGGCCCGAACGCCCACTCCCTCATGCGCAGCAGGTCGTTCGATGCGGAGCGCTTGGGCCGCGACTCCAGCACAGCGTGGACGAAGGGGCCCTGGGACACACAAATAAATATACACACGCAAACCACGCGATTCCCCCTATTATCCAATATGTTCTGAGTTTTTGCCCCCCCCCCCCCCCACCACACTTCCCATATGTTTGCACATTTTCCTGAGAACCGACGATGAATTCTGTCTGTGTGTTTTTTAACCCTCCTGATTTTTTATTCGCGAAGACACAATGCGCCAGCACCTGGAGGAGGAAGAGGGAGGAAGAGGGAGGAGGAGGGAGGAGGAGGAGGAGGAGGAGGGGGAGGGGGAGGAGGAGGAGAAGGGGGAGGGGGAGGGAGGAGCATCCCCTGATCGGGGGCGCGGCGCTGGATCCCGGGCGGCCAGCACGGCTCTATATGGCGGAGGTCTCCGCCCGCCACAGGAGCTGCGCGCGGCACAGGAGGACCGACAGCACCGCGGCCGCGTGACTGGTTTACGACCTCACCCGAACCCAGACCCCCTCGAGTTATGAAAAAATCACGACGGGATTTTTTTCATTACTTCTGGCCTCTGGGGGCCCTTACCGGCCCTCGGGACCGTCAAAAAACGACTCAGGATCAAAAACCGGTCCTGGGGAATGGGTCGAGACTTCCAAGGACCCCGTATTGAAAAAATCACGACATCGGATCTCTGGGAAGCTGCCGGCAGCGCCACGGCCAAGAAACGAGGTGTTCCATGCTCGAGGCGGCGCTGCGAGCGGCGAGCGCGCGCCGAGCGTCCGCAGCCGCCGCGTATATAATTACTGCGCTGGGGGCATCCGCCTTATACCGATACCGCAAGCCCTTAAGCAGGCATCCCCTGTACCTGTTACCAGGGAATTGCCGGTGACCGGCCGCCGCCTTGCCGGTTACAATCGGGGCGTTGCCCTAAGGAACCCTAAATAAGGAACGAGGCCCATTTTTTCCCACAAGTTAAACGTCGATTTCCCATGGGAAACCTCAGGAAAACCTGAGGCAAACAGTTAAACAATCAAGGAACACCGAGCCCCTCCCCAACGAGAAGGGTTCCTTCTTCAGCGCCCCGACTGTACCGTGGCCTTGCCGGTCACCGGCCCCGGCGGCCGGGGTCCGCGCGGCGGCGAGCTGCGGCGCCCAGCGGAGGACACCGCGCGGGTGGCGCTCGCCCGCTCGCCGCCCCCCCCTTCGCCGCCCGACATCTGGATCCGCGGCCACGGGGCGGGGAGCGGAGCGACAAGACCACGGCGGCCGTCGGCCGTCGGCGCCTCCGCGGAGTGGGCGGCGACGGGTGTCCGGATAATCTCCCCAACCTGGCCATCGCTCGGACGTCCATTCCCTGTGTTTTTTTCGGTTTCGTGCGTGGCTTTTTCGCTAAATGATCAAGGATGCTCCTCGACGGTCCTCGCCGAAGGAAAAGGCACACGTCCGAGCGATGCCAAGCAACAGGGGGCGCGCCTCGAGCCGCTCCGGCGACCGCGACGCCACAGAACTGCGAGCCGCACTGGGTCAAGCGGGCCAACATCGCGTATACTTAGCATACCTGGACGAGTCGCGCGCATCCGGCATGAAGGTCGCGCCGCTCCAGCTCCACGAACGTCCATGCCTGGGCCGGGCTCGGGGAGGCCAGCTCGTCCGCGGAACCGGGTGGCGGCGCGCTCTTGCGCGTCGAGGCGATGGCCCCGTGGAGAATCTTCTCGGCCGCGCATGGGTCCTTGCTGGGACTCGAGGGGTTCGCGATGGCGCAGAGGAGCTGATTCGCCGTGGATGCCGGCAGCTTAGGATTAGAGCTTTTGGGTAACTGCCGGCGCACCTTATCAGGTGCACGCGTGAAGGCCGCAGCCGCCGGGGTCTCCTCGGGCTTCGGGCCAAACTGCTTCCACGACTCGTTCAGCTCTTGCGGAGACTCCGCGCCATCCAGCTCTCCGTGCTGACTCGACGGTGTTGCGCACCGTCGAAAAAGTGGTCTTGAGCCAATGTGGCAGCGGAAGAAGAGGAGAAGGAGGCTATCTCAATAATGAGGCAAGAGTGAGGAGGAAGAGGAGGAGGAGGAGGAGGAGGAGGAGGAGGAGGAGGAGAGAAGGGATCATAGGCGATATCAGAGAGCAACGAATATCAAACGGGGGATCGGGGCGGCGATCGAAGGAGCCTCACTTTCTCCCCCCTCCCTCCCTCCTTCCCCCCTCCGTACCTGGGAACTTCTGTTTCCCAACACTTTCTCTCCCCCCTCACCCTCACCCTTCCGTCCTCCCGCTCTTCCTCCCCGTTCCCCCCCCCCCCCCCAGGTCCCTGGCCCCATCCACGCTCCCCGTCCGGTCGCCGTCCCCGTCCCCTCGCCCATCTCCCCCTCCCCCCTCCCTCCCTCCACTCACTCACCTCCCCTTCCATCCCCTCCAACATCCTTCCCTCGCCTCTCTCGGCCCCCTCCCCGCGCCCCTTCGCCCCCTGCACGTCCGCTTCCTCCCTCCCTCCCCCCTCCCGCTCCACCTCCCGAGCCGAAAAAGGCCCCTGCAGCGGAACAGCGGCTCCGGGGTCGTGTCGCACCCGCGGCCGTAGCTGGCGCAGCAGAACTGCCGCTGGTCCGTGCTCCAGCTGCCGGGAGAAGGGGGGGAGGGGGGGGGGGGAAGGGGGGAGAGGGAGCGGAGGAGCACGGACCCAGAGATCCAACGTACTGAAAAAATCAAGACGGAGGCTTTTCGTATTTTTCGGCCTCGAGGGGCCCTCGCCGGGCCCCAGGACCGCCAAAAAGCGACTCGGGATGAGAAACCGGTCCCGGGGAATGGGTCGAGACATCTGGGGACCCCGTATTGAAAAAATCACGACGTCGGATCTCTGGGGAGGGAGAGGAGCGCGCGCCCAAGAAGGGAACGGCCGGAGCCCCGGGTGCAGCCTGGAACGAAGGGGAGAGGGCAGGGAGAGGGCTGGGACGAGCGAAGAGGACGACGAGAGAGGGAGCAGAACGCGACGACGACGACGACGACGACGACGACGACGACGTCGACGACGACGACGACGACGACGACGACGACGACGACGACGACGACGACGACGACGACGACGAGGTCGAACGAGGAGGACGGGGACGAGGCGCGGCGGCTGGCGGCGCGGCGGAGGCCCGGGGCGGCGGCTCGCGGAGGGCGGCGGCGCGGGGGCGGCCGGGGCCGAGGCGCGGCGCTGCAGGCCGGCCGGCGGCGGCAGCGCCGGCGGCAGGCGGCCAGGGCGGGGCCCGGTGCGCGGCGGGCGTAAGTAGGCGGGGCCCGCGGCGCGCTGGCGGCGGGCTCGGGGCCAGGAGCAGGAGGCACCCTCCTCCTCCTCCTCCTCCTCCTCCTCCTCCTCCTGCTCCTCCTCCTCCGCCTCCGCCTCCTCCTCCTCCTCCTCCTCCCTCCTCCTCCTCCTCCTCCTCCTCCTCCTCCTCCTCCTCCTCCTCCTCCTCCTCCTCCTCCTCCTCCTCCCCCTCCTCCTCCTCCTTCTCCCCCTCCTCCTCCTCCTCCTCCTCCCCCTCCTCGGCTGGGGTCCACGGTGGGGCCGTGGAGGAGGAGACGGAGGGCCGTGGAGCAGGAGGCCCCCTGCCCAGGAGCAGCGCCCCCCAGCGAGCGGTATATGTGCGTGCGAAGGGGCCCAGCAAGCCGGTAGCGAATGGGGCCCAGGCTGCTGCACAACCTCCTGGCGGGTCCACCCCTGGGAGGCTCGAGCGAGATGCCTGCCAACACGTTGTGGCCGAGTGTGGCTGGGTCTGGGTATGAATGGGCCTGGGCATATAGTCTAGTCTGCGCGTGAGCGACTGACTATGTACGAAGCCGATGTTGCATCACAGCAGCATTTCGGCCCCTGACTTTCGTCCTGGGTTCGGTTTAGTGAAGTGATGCATTTCGGGGTCCTCACGTGGGACAAAAACATCACTTCACTAATCTGGGGCCCCTGGGGCCTCAGTGGGCCCTGGGGCCCAAAATTAGTGAAGTGATGGTTTTCGGGCCTCGGACTATGAGGTTGGTCCTGGTGTGAGCGGGTCATGGTGTGCGTGCGAGTCTGAGTATGAGTGGCTGAATGTGGGTGAGCCTGGGTATGAATGCGTATGAGTATGACTGGCCAGGTACGAGCGAGCCTGAGCATGACTGACATTGCACGAGCGACTGGGTAGGAGTGAGCCTGGGTGTGAGTAAGTTTGAATATGAGAGACCACGAGTGTGAGTGGGTCTGGGTACCGAAAACGATGCTCAAGATCCCCTACGATTCCCCCAGTAAGCGCCCAAAAAGGCACAGGAGACTGTCGGGAGGTTCCATCGGCCAACAAGAGCCTCCAAGAGAGGCTGGAAGACGCTCTGGGAGAGGGCCCCGCTGGACAAAAAATTGGCAACATCATCTAGATTGTTCGTACGCGTTTCGTATATGTTCGGCTTCTCGGCTGAAAGTGGTTTGAAAATGGCTTCAGCGAGCCCCAAGACTGTCCAAGAGGACTCAAGAACCGCCCGAAACTGCCCTAGTGCGTCCCAGGAGGCCTTCAAGGCGGCTTGAGACAGCCTCTGGGGAGTTCGATAGATCTTCTAGACGTCCCAGGGCAGTGCTAAGGTAATTTTCAAAGGCAGACGGCCCCCCAAACGTTCCAAGACAGCTCAAAAGAGGGCCCGACACAGCCCATAAAACGCCCCGAAGAGACCTCCAATAGGCTTCCCGCGAAATCCCAAGACATTCCAACAGCGTTTCAAGCAAAACGTGCCAAGATGGTTTCCTGCAACCTCCGACCTTCAACCAATCCCTCCCAAGCCTACCGACCTTTAACCCCCCAACCTTCTTGGATCTCGGGGCGTGTAACGCGAAGCCGGAGATGCAACACATGTGCCAACTACAAGCCAAGAATGCCCCAGACGGACCGACCGCTCAGAAGAGCCTCGGACGAAGCTTAACACGCCTGAGAAGAACCTGGGGGGCTCTGGGTATGACCCACAAAAAAAAACGCCGACCCTGTCGGCGTGTGTGAATGCTTTTTCCGTTCGAGTCGGGCTTTTCCGTTGGAGTCGTCGTCTCCGTCTTCCTCTGTTCCATTTGCCTGGGCCCTCTTCCCCATGCGTGCCGTCCAAAGCAAAATTGAAAAAACAAGGAATGGGATAGAAAGGAAACCCTTCCATTTGATCCCTTCCCCGCGCTGCGGGGGGGTCCAGGGGGGGCCCCGGGGGGGGGCGCCACCCAGACCAGGCTCGGGCGGAGGGCAAGGACGAGGACGACGACTCGCTGGACCCCGCCCACTGCCCCGACAGGGAGAGACCCAGGGCGACGGTGCGCCAGCACGTCTCCCTGATTACTGCGCAGGCGGCGCCGGACCTCGAGGGGATCGCCCTGGCGCGCGAGAAAGAAGAAACCTCAGCAGTGCCCGGCGCGACGCAGCCGTGCAGAGCGCGCACTTCCAGGCGACCGCCGGTGGAGGCGCCGCGTGGAGCGCCGGGGCGCGCCTCCCTCGGCGGTCCGAGCGCATTTCCAGCAGGTCGCGCCGGGAGCGGGACGTGGCGGACGCGCTGAACTTCGCGCGCGGCAAGCCCAGACCCCCTCGCGTCATGAAGAAATCACGACATGAGGTTTTTCGCTATTTCCGGCCTCTGGGGGCCCTTACCGGGCCTCGGGGCCGTCAAAAAACGACTTAGGATGAAGAGCCCGTCCCGGGGAATAGGTCCAGAGTTCTGGGGGTCGCGCCATGAAGAGATCATGACGTCGGGGGTCTGGGAACGTCTCGAGAAGTTGGCCGAGGAGCGCCTCGCGCCCCCGTGCATGTCCGAGGCGGCTCGCGAGGGCGCGGGCGCGGCCGAGCCGACGGAGGCCGCGGCCGTTTCTGCGCCCGCGGCCAGGCGCCGACCGCCGGCGACCGCGGCGCGCGAGGAGAGACACGCCTGGGCGACCTTGCGTGACGACCGCCTCCAAGGCAGTCGCGAAGAGGATGACGCGGACGTCGACGACGGCGCGGACGAGGGCGCTGGCGGCCTCGGCGGCGCCCTCGCTGCGGCCAGGTTCGGCGGCACCGCGTGCTCCACGCCCAGCGCGCACATCGTCCAACGGGTCGCTGGTTTGCCGGAGGGCCAGCGACTCACGCGGGACCAGATGCTCTTCGTCGCCAACTTCGCCAGGCCTGCGACGATGCCCGGGATGACGACGTGCAGAAGAAACCCTGGAGCGAGAGGGAAGTAACGCGCATGCTCTTTGGGCCAGGGCGGCTCGGGGAAGACGGACGCGGTGCAGCAGATCGTCTTCCCAGTGGTGGAATAGGCGCGGCCCTCGTTGGTGCCAGACAAGGGCGCCACGATGGTCGTGGCCTTCTCGAACGCGAAGGCAAAGAACATGTCCATGGAGAGGCTGAATGCCAGAACGCTGCGCAACGCGTGCGCTCTGCGAGTCCAAAGGTACATCATCGCGAATATATGGCTGGGGGGCAAGCAGAGGAGGCTTATGTGGTTGTGGGAGGACGCCCGCGTTCTTGCCATTGAGGAGTTGACCATGGTGGCGGCCGCGCTCCACAACGCGCTGTGGCCCGCACGACGTGCAGGATTCCACCTACAAGCGGCCGCACCACCACTTCGGGCGCGTCCCAACGCGTTGCATCTGGGCGATTTCCTCCCGCTGAAGCCCACTGGCAGCATCGGCCTGCTGATGGACGTCAGCGAACTCCTGGAAGACGGGTCGCACAAGCACGCGGAGCCGCCGACGGTGGAGACTTCGCACGCAATCGAAGTCTTCTCTCACATCCTTTACGTCGTCGAACTGACGGCCACGAAACTCTTCGAGCCCGGGGACTCTCTGATCACGTTCTTGGGCTGCACGCGCGAGGGCAGACGCTTCCCGCCACAGGTCTGGTCTGCCTGGGAGAAGGCGCTGGCCTCGGACGACCGCGGCGTCCTGCGCCCTCGGTACCAGCGCGAGAACTTCCGCCTCGGCTACGGCATGGGCATCTACTGGGAGACGCCGGCGAAGTGGATCAACTCGCGCGCTCGTCGCATCGCGCGGCGTCTTGACGCGCCTTTGGTTTTCCTGCAGGCCGTGGACGAGTACATCGCGATTCAAGGCGATCCATGTGCGGTCTGGCGCCTCCTGAACGTCCCGAACATGCACAAGACGGGGGACATCCACGGCGCCTTACCTGCACGCGTCGGCATGGAGGTTCGGTTCACGGCCGCGCACGAGGAACTAAAGAAGTTAGGGCTGATCCAGGTGCAACTGGCCACCATCGTGTCCTTCGAGTTCCTCCCAGACGGCGACCGGGAGTACAAGGGGCGCGCGCCAGACCAGCTCTTTCGCCCCCGCCACCTGCCGCAAGGAATCTGGATGCAGGTGCGCGGCCTCAAGGAATCTCCGATCTACAAGCATATCGCCAGAGTTTTGCTACAGGGCGCCGAAAGCGCTGACGACGACGGCGAGGCCGAGGCGCGGGCGAGGAGATTGCTCATGTTCAGGCCCACCGAAAATGAAGTCACGTGGCAGAGCTCGGGGCCGCACGCCGCGCGCCGCTCGGGGTTTGCCCATGCGCACGCATTGGCGCAGGGGCTGACGCGGCCCGAGGGCATCGCCATCGACCGCGCTAGGGATCGGGACGCCAGTCGCACGGGCATGTCGGACGAGCAGTGGTGGCTGTACCTCTACGTCATGCTCCCCCGCGCCACGCGCATGCGGAACATGCTGGTCCCGCGGCCGCCCGTGCGAAAGTTCTTGGAGCGCGGGCCGCCGGCGCCCCTGCGGCAGGCGCTCGGGGAATTCGACAAGCAGGCTGCGAGCTCCAGGACTCAGGCGGAGCAGCTCGCGGCAAAGCTGGGCTTCGTGCTGCCTCCCGCCTGGGCGCGGTCCCAACGGCTTGCCCCCGCGCCCCAGCGGCTCGCGGGGTTGCCCCAACGGTCTGGCCCGCAGGGTTGCCCCAACGGCTTCGCGACTTTGCCGTCGGAGAACGGGCCCCTGCCAGGCGCGGCGGCGAGGGCACCGAAGAAAATCAACATGCGCGCCTCTGCCAGGAGAAAGGAGAGGTGCATAAGGAAAGCAGGCGGGATGGAGATCAGGAGATGGAGGAGGAAAAGGTGGAGGAAGAGGAGGTGGAAAAAGACGAGGAGGAGGAGGGGTAATATGAGGAGGAGAGGGAGGAGCAGGAGGAGCAGGGGGAGGAGGAGGAGGAGGAGGAGGAGGAGGAGGAGGAGGAGGAGGAGGAGGAGGAGGAGAGCAGGAGGAGCAAGAGGAGGAGGAGGAGGAGGAGGAGGAGGAGGAGGAGGAGGAGGAGGAGGAGGAGGAGGAGGAGGAGGAGGAGGGTGAGGAGGAGAGGAGGAGGAGGAGGAGAAGGAGGATAACAGATGCAACGGGTAGGGCGAGAAGGACGATGGGGAGGATGAGGAGGAGGAGGAGGAGGAGGAGGAGGAGGAAGACGCAGAAGCGGGAGGAGGAGAGGAAGAGGGCGAGGGGCAAGCTAAACATATTCTCGCGCGGGGTCCTACCGTCGGAACAAATGGAGGCGGGGGGTGCTTTCCGCTGCACGCGCTGCTACCCGTCGGGCGACCCTGCAGCGCGGCGCGTTGGTGGGTGCCGCTCCGCCCAGGGAAGTGGGCGGCCACCTGGATCAGCTCCTTCGCGCAGGTGACCCGCTGGGCTCGTTTATGGCAGTTTGGGGGCCTCTCGGCCACCTCCGCGGCCTGCGCGCCCCCCAGGGCGGCGCCGGGGGGCGGGCCCCGCCCGCGCGGGCACGTGTCTGGCGGCACGATGAGGACGTCGGGCCCCGCGGCCCCATCGCGGGACCTCCCCCCCGAACCCCTGGGCCCGCGCCCGGGGGCCGGCTGACCAGGGCCAAGCCCTGGCACCCCCAGGGGACCCCGGACGTGGTCGCCTGCGCGGGTGTTCCCCCCCCCCCCCCCCGCATCCCCAACGATGGCTGGTTGTTGGAGGCCCTTGGCCCCCCCCGCGGGCCTTTTACCCTCGCTGCTGTAGAAGCCTTCCATGCAGTCGAAGGGCTCCCCCGCCACCTTGCCCATCGATTGCCTCGCCATGCGCACCACCTGGCAAAGGGATGGCTTCATCAATGATCCCAATGTCATCTCCTTACCTTCCCTTCCCTCCCTGCCTCCCTTCCTCTCGTTTTCCCGTCCTGCCTTCCTCGTTCCTGCCCCTGTTCCTCTTCCTCCTCCTCCCCCCTTCCCCTCCTTCTCCTGCTCTTGCTCCTGCTCTCCTTCCCCTTCCCCCTGCTTTCTGCCGAAAGGTAGTCGCGCGCCAATGAGGAAAAGAGATTTCTGTCGACTGCGCTATATAGTGTTCTCTCCGCCTTTGCATGCTGGGCAGGCGTTTGCGAACCTATTGTGAGTGTCGCTCTTGACATGCATTGGCCAGCGAGCAAGGTTGCAAGTGCCACAGTTTTCGGGCTGCGCTCACAATGAAGTGCCGTGGCGTCATGCTTTTGTGATGATACATACTTTGTTTGCAGCTCGCGGCTCAAGCCTCCAAACTTACCGCGAATGATCCTGTCGCACCTGAGACACGGGTACGGCAACTGAGGGAGCCCTCACAACGTCCACCGTGAGTGTTATGAGTACGCTGTGCAGCGCAGGCTCTGGCAGCGGTAATGCCACAGAGGAATGGGACCGACACTCAGTGCCCGCGGTCTCTCTGGCACGTAAACGCACTCAAGCATGTCCAACATTTCGAGCTCGCGCGTGTTCTTGTTTATTCCACATCGGCCTGTACACCTTTGTAGATCAAATCTGCCAAATGAGAGAGACCACCAGTGAAAGTCCCACCTCATTGTTCAAGGCTGTCTGAAGTAAGACACCATTCCGTGATGTCCCACTTCATGTCTGACACCTCCCAGAGGGAAAGACACCACCAGTTGATGTCCCACTTCATGATGGAAACACGCCCGAGGTAAGACATCACCAACAGATGTCCCACTTCATGATTGACATCTGCCGGAGAACGACACCATTAGTGGATGTCCCACTTCACGAATGAAATACGCCTGAGATAAGACACCACCACATGATGTCCGACTTCGTGTTTGAGATCTGCCAGAGAGACGCCACCAATGCACCAATGGATGTCCGACCTCATGTTTCAAATTCGGAGGTACGGTAACAGGCCAGCAAAGGTCAGCCAGGTACATGCTGACGCGTCTACCCCCGCACACAGGAGGAGAAGACGCCACCAATGGATGTCCCACTCATGTTTAACATGTGACAGATCTGCAAGAGATGCAGACGCCACCAACTGAAAAAAAAAAAACATGATTCAAATGCACGCGGTAGTCGACATCGCCTACGGAGTCCCACTTTGCAGACCGAAATCCGTCGCTTACATGAGGCCGTCCTGTTGTGAAGGAACACCTTTCGCTTAGCAGTGGGAGGGTGGCCTCGAAGGCCTTCCAGCTGCTGATGCTCGTCATCTGTCCAACATTTTGAGCTCGTTGCCACGGTCGACGATGGGTGCAATTGCAACTGCTGGCTGGGCGCGCAAGTTGGTCCCAATGGGAGAAGGAGGATCTCACGCATGAGTGCAAGCTACTCTATACGATGAATTATGCTGAAGCTGCGGCTTGCTGGCGCATGCTGTACGCAATCGCGGCTTGGCATGTGGAGCCTCGATGGCTGTACCCAACAACGCACTGAACTTGCACCTGCCCTGCGCCTGGAAGTGTGCCCTGGCACAAGAAAACTGGGTCGAGAAAGCTAGATGTTTGCCGAGGTGGCTTCCGTGTGCGATGATTGCTGCTGTAGCCGGAACGCGCAGTTCGGCTTCTGTGGCAGCTGTGCGCCGTTCTTGTGACACGACGCTGTTCCCCTAGCCCACCCCAAACCATGAGCATCACTCCACTGCCACCGATGACGTGCAGTGTCCAAGAAGCGCTGGCGGCTGACTAAACTATGAAAACTGCTGGTTAGGACATGGATGGGTGGCTACTGTGGAAGCAAAGGTTCCAGCGCAAGGGTGAGCGGCGCTGCGCGATGGATGCTGCTGGGGCCGAGACGTGGAAGCTCGAGTGCTGTGGGACCCGATGGCTCCCCAATGTGAGGACGCGAGGACGGTGGCGCCCCACCGCCCACACTGATCCCCAGGTCCGCGCCGCCGCTCCAAGCCGCCACTGTTCCGCCCCGCCGCCGCCGAGATGTCCAGGGAGGGCTGGTCTTAAGCTACAGTCGGGGCCTTGACCTAAGGAACACAAAATAAGGAACGAGGCCCCTTTTTTCCATAAGTTAACCTTCGATTTCCTGTCGAAAACATAAGGAAAACCTCAGGCAAGCTGCGAAACACATAAGGAACGCGGAGCCCCTCCCCAACGAAAAGGGTTCCTTCTTCAGGGCCCCGACTGTACGCTACTCGGGTGGTCGATGCTGGCTGCCACGGTGACCGTTGGCTGGGCCTTGCAGGTTGGCCGCTGCCGAACTGCAGAGAGCCCCGCGCCGGAGCAAAAGCCACACGGCGCGGCGGCTGAGCTGCTGCGGGTGACGTCTGCGAGCTCGGCCACGGACTCCTGCGGACGGGGGGCGCGGGAGCGTGATCTGCCGCGGGGAAGCCGCCGCTTGGCTCCATGTGAAGGGGGCCCAGGACACACAAATAAATACACACAATCAAAAGGATTCCCCATATTTTCCGATATTTTCTGGGTTTTTGTCTTCCCCCCCACTTCCCATATTTTCCCATATTTTCTGCGGAATCAGCGATGAATTGTGTCTGTGTGTTTCTTTCCCTCCTGACCATGGGAGGAGGGCCAGCGAGGGAGCGGGCCCGCGCGCCGGGCGGAGCACCGAGAGGGACGAGTTTGCGTCGGAGCTCCACGCCCGCACAGCCGTGGTGAACGCAGCAGCGGCGGCTGGAAACGCGCTGCTGGCAGCGAGGGGGGCCGAGCGGTGCCAGGGGCCCTGACTCCGGATCCGCCCTACGTTGGCTTCTTTTCCAACTTAAGATTGCGTCGGAAATCCACCTGCAAGAGGCCGAAGAAGCAGGGCGGAAACTGCTGCACCCAGCATAAAAGTAGGGCAGACATCCACAGAAGCAGCAGCAGAAAAGTGGGGCGGAAATTGGCATCAGCGGGGCTTGAAAAGCAAGGCGGAAATTCCAAGCCCTACTCACGAATTTCCCCAAAGTAGGGCGGATCCGGAGTCGGGGTGGCCCGCTGGAGGCCCGGGCAGGTCACCGAGGTCGGTGACCTCGCGAGGCCCGTTGAGGGCCCCCCGAGGTCACCGAGACCGGGGGGCCGCCCCTGGGCACGGGGGGCCCCGCCCGCGCAGAGGGCTGTCGGGAAGGCGCCTCGTCCGGGGCCGCCGGCTCCCCGCAAGCCCGTGCTGCGCGGCGGCGGCGAGGGCGAAAGGGAGCGAGAGGCAGGCAGCCGACTTACCCCCCCCAGGTAGGGGTACGTGATCCCAGGCCCAGGGCACGGCGGGCCTACATGGATTGCAGGGAGCCTTTGGTTTTTGCGGGGCAGGGTCGGCGGTCCAGATCCCTACCGTCCCCCTCCTCTCCCTGCCTGTCTTGCTTTCTCTCCCTTGCCCGCTCCCCCTCCCCTCCCCTCCCCCCCCCCTCCCCCCCTCTCTCGGCGAGGGCGAAAGGGAACGAGAAGCAGGCAGCCGACTTACCCCCCTAGGTAGGGAGACGTGATCCCAGGCTCAAGGCCCAGGGCGCCCCCCCAGATTGGATGGGAGGGGGGCGACGACGACGACGACGACGACGACGACGACGACGACGACGACGACGACGACGACGACATCGACGACGACACCGACGACGACGACGAAGGCAAACGCGCAGGCGGGAGGCCAGGGCCGGCGGGACGCAGCAGGCGGGCGGGCAGGCGGGCGAGCAGGCGGGCAGGCGGGCGGGCGGGCAGGAGGTCGGGAACGAATGCTCCTGGCTGTCACGGCGGTGGTGATCTCCGTCTCCATGAAGACATGCAGATGCTGGGGCGTATGGGGAGACGTAGCAAACAGCAACGAGCACAGATCTGCGTGTGCACGCGCGGAAAGCTGCTGGCTGCGAAGGAAGATCGTGAACACAACTGGTATACTCTGGTAGTGCACCGTGAGTGCCAGAGTGACAGAAATCTGCTGCGCTTGTGGACTTCGGCGGTGGACAAACCTCCCTTTAGTAAACCTCCCCTTAGTGAAAACGGCCTGGGACTGAAACCGAGGGACCTGGACCCGCAAAAATGACGGCCGCGACGCCCCCTCGCGAACCGACAACGGCCAATTCCTCAATCGACGTGTCAGGGTAGGAGGTCTGTCCACCCCCGAGGGCTACAGGGCTCTTGGCATACGTCCTCTTTGCATGCTGAAGCGAGATGTATCACAGCAAGGTCAGCCCCGCCCGCCGGTTCCCCTGACCGCCCTGCAGGCAAGAGGGAGGGAGGGAGGGAGGAGAGGTAGGGGAGGGAGGAAGAGGCGAAGGGGGGGGGGAGGGGAGGGAGGAAGGCGAGGGAGGGAGGGAGGGAGGGAGGGAGGGAAGGGAGGGAGGCAAGCTAGGTGCGCTCGCGTCATATCTGACGTCCTACCCCTCCCTCCCATCCCTTACCATGGCGCTGATTTTCTCTATCCGCGGACGCGTGTCGTAGCGGACCTGTGGCTCCGCGCGCGCGTGCGTAGTGGGTGGTGGTGCACGTGCGTGCGTGCGTGCGTGCGTGTGTGCGTGGTTGTGGTGGTGGTGTGCTGGTGCTGGTGCTGGTGCTGGTGCTGGTGCTGGTGCTCGTGCTGGTGGTGGTGCTGGTGCTGGTGGTGGTTGTGATGGTGGTGGTGGTGGTGGTGGTGGTGGTGGTGGTGGTGGTGGTGGTGGTGGTGGTGGTGCGGCGCGGTGGTGGCGGGCGGATGGGCGCGCGAGAAAGAGGCCCGCGCTGGGGCGAGAACGCCATCCTGAACGACGGAGGCCAAACACCGATCCGAAAATGAGGCCCCCGTTGCAGCGGGAGCACCATTCGGAACGATTCGGGAGCAGAAATGAGGCCGGCGCCTCAGCGAGAGCATCATTAAAAAAAAACGCAGGCGAAAACCCGTTTCCCGGGAATCCTGTGTGTAAAAAAACAATACGCGGGGGGCGTTCGGCCCGAAAATGACGCCGGCGCCTCAGCGAGAGTCGTTTCCCGGGATTTCCCGGGCATCCTGTGTGTAAAAAAACAGTACGCGGAGAATGCGCGGTCATCACCCGGACGCCATCAGGGGAAGAGGGAGAGTATTTTTATATTGAGTGAGTAATTGTGGAGGGAGGAAGAGGCGAAGGGGGGGGAGGAAGAGCCGAAGAGGCGGAGGGAGGGAGGGAGGGGAGGGAGGGGAGGGAGGAAGAGGCGAAGGGGGACAAGCTGGGTGCGCTCGCGCCATGCCTGACATCCTACCCCTCCCTTCAATTCCTTCCCATTGCGCTGAATTTTCTCTGAACGCGGACGCGTGTCATGGCCGACCTAGAACACAGAAGAAACAATCATCGTGCGATGCGCAATCAGAAAAGGGGAGCTGCGTACATCTGGGGAGGTGGAGGAGAAGGATGTAGCGGGTGAGCAGGAGGATGAGCAAGAGTAAAAGGAGAAGGACGAGGAAGGAGGAGGACGAGGACGAACAGTATCAGCAGGAACTGGAGTGGAAGGAGTGGGAGCAGCAGGAAAACCAGGGCAAGGCGGAGGAGGGGAAATGAGGGGGGCGGCAACGATGAAAAGGACTCGGATCCAGAAAAGTGTCCCGCGCTGGGGTGAGAGCGCCAGTCTGAACGACGGGAGCACAATGCCGATCCGAAGATGAGGCCCCCGCTGCCGCGGGAGCACCATCTTGAAACACCGAGATCGGACTGTAAAACACACATCGGGAACACCAGCAGCTGAAATCGTGTGTGTGTGTGAGAGAGAATCCAGTCGCGGAGAGGGCTTACATCTTCCGCACAGAGTCAGGGGAGAAAAGAAGCGCAGCGCCTTCAGAACGTGCAGTTAATGAAGAGGGCGAAACACGGGACGGCAGGGGCCAGGAAGGGGACAGGCGGGGGGAGGTGAGAAGAGCTGGAGGGTGGGGCCTGGGATCGGGGAAGGGAAAAAGGGTGGGGCTCGGGAGGGGGCTTGAGGGTTCCTACACGGTACTCGGGAGCGGCCAAGAGGGGGGTGTCCAAGAGGGGGGTGTGCAAATCATGACCGGCGGCATGTGCGCGGCCCAGCGGGGGGGCCAGGGACGTAATGAAATAAGAAGAGGCGCCACGAAATCTGGGGAACTATCATGGCCCCCGCCATGATATCCCCCCCCTAGTCATCACCCCCCTCTTTCCCCCCCCCGAGCTGCCCGACGAGGCAAAACGAAACCCTAGGAAACCACTGGCGCGCAGCGCGAGAGCACAGCCCGGACGAGAGCTGGGCGGGGACGGAAGGGGGGAGGCGAGCGGAGAGCGAGCACCGCGCAGGACCGCCGAGGCCGCGAGCGGAAGAATACTGGGGCGGGCAGCGGAGGGCCGGGGGACGGAAGGGGAGCAGCACGGGCTCCTCCTCCTGCTCCTCCTCCTGCTCCTCCTCCTTCTCCTTCCCGCAATGGCTTCATCAGCATGAGGAGGAGGAGGAGGAGGAGGAGGAGGAGGAGGAGGAGGAGGAGGAGGAGGAGGAGGGGGAGCCGGCTGGGCTGCGACCATGGCAAGCATCACGACGTTGATGACGCCGAGCAGCAGCAGGCAGGGGACGGCCACGACGTAGTGCTGGCAGGTGTTGCCGCTGGACCAGTAGCTGCCGTCGAACCTCGGGGGGGCGTCGCCGAATCACATCATGGTCGTCGTCGTGGTCGCCAGCGTCGTCGTCACCGTCATCGTCATCGTCGCCAGCCTCATCCTCACCTCGACCGTGCGGCCGCACAAACTTCTTTCTTCTGTCGCCCTGTGCCGGCCAGGCCACCCTCTCCATGTGTCCGCCACTGTGACCCCCTTGGTGCGTCGAGGCGTGGCAGAATGCCAAGTGCTGTCTGGTAGGGCCCCTGCAAGCCTTCAAAGGCAACCCGACCTACCCACGCAGTTCTGCAAGCATCGTCCCCGCCAAGATGGCCAGCATTGCCTCAAGAAGCATCCGACAGCTCCCAAGCAGACCTCAAGAGGTACCAAACGAGCCCACCAGGCTCCCAAAGACGAGAAAGAGAAAGAGAGTAACCTTCGTTCCATCAACGATGCGGCTCTGTTTGGACAAGTTGTCGAGTTTCCGGTGGCTTCGGTCGGTTGTATTGACCTCTAATCGCATTCAACCAGATTCCAGTGGAACACGTCTAGATTGTCCTAGACAAATCAAAAGGAAAGGGCACATAGGGATTACTCTGCCGCCTAGCTCTTAGCCGCACCCCCTGGCTGATATGCTTTTGTGCGACAGTCTGTCTGCTTCTCGCGCCCAAGAGAGCTCCCCCACTTCAGACACTCAAGTATTTCTTTCCTCCTCCTCCTTCACCATCTCCTCCTCCACCTCCGCCCCTTCCTTCAAACAGCGGCGTGGGCGGGGGGCACAATGAGTATAATACATTCCAGCAGCTGCAGCAGCCGGCGCCGTGCGGCTGGTGGTGCGACAAGACGATCGGTCTAGTACCTGTGCTGCGCTCCCCCTGGGGGCTGAAGCGAAGGATGCAGCCGGATGTTGTTGTTTTCTTTTTGGGGTGGGCAAGGCGGACGTGGAAGACAAGGGAAGGAAAGGAGAAAAGGACGGTGAAGGGACGCGGTTGGATGGGGGCGATGAAGGGGCATGGGAGAGGAGGAATACGAAGCACAGGAGGCGCATAGGGCAGGAGGGGGGGAGAGGGAGGTGCAGAGGACGAGAGAAGAAGAATGACGAGTAGGAGTAACAGCATATACGAGACGGATGAGCACCATCAGCAGCAGTAGCAGAAGCAGCAGAGATCACCACGCACAAGGGGGACGAAGGCGGCGGCTGCTGCTCCTCCCCCTGCCTGCTACTCCCCCTAGCTTTCCTCGTCGTTGTCCTGGTCCCCGTTGTCGGTCGTCGATTATCCTCCTCCTCCTCCTCCTCCTCCTTTTCCCCGTCCTCCTGCAGCCGAAACAAGAGAGAACAGAGGCGGGTCAAGAAGCCAAAAGGGGGGGAGGTCATCTCGTCCTATTCTGGCCACGGCCCCCTGTTCCTCTTCTCCTTCTACTCCTCCCCCCCCTTTCCCTCTTCCTCCTCCCCATCATACTCCTCCACGTCATCTCGAACCATCCCCCTTCACCTCCTCATCTTCCTCCTCCGTCCTTTCTCCCACCGCCTCCCCCCCTCCTCCTCTCCCCCCCCCCCTCCCCTCCGCCCTCCTTCCCCCCCGTCGGAGCGACCATGAGGGGATACCATCTTGGAGCCTCCTGAAGCCTTCAGGTGCCTCGCGGGGCGGCCCCCTGGGGCCCTTCTGAGCCCCCCCCTGAGACCTCCTGGAGCGTCCTGGGGCGTCTTGGGGCGTACTGGAGCCTGCCGAAGCTTCCTGGGATCCCATTGGGCTGCGATGCCTAGCCCGAGGTTGAGGGTGGACGGCTGCGGAAAACCCCAGGAATGCGCCCCAGCGCGCCCCGAGGCGGCCCTGTGGTGGGGGGACGGGTGCACCCATAAGCCACCCAAATAAGTGAACCAAGACATACGCGTTCAGAGGGCCGTCGGTTCACTTATGTTCGGTGCCCAGAGGTCCCGATTATGTTAGGTATCATTGGCCCCGGGACGTTCCAGGACACATCAGACCGCCCCAAGAAGCCCCAGGAATCACCAGGAGTCCCCAGGAAATGCAACGATGTACATATGTGTCTATATTCTCATCATTATTATTCATGTATAAACATATAAACGTGTATACATGTATGTATATATATATATGTGTAGACGCACATAACTGACAATCTATATATAACGAATATGGTATGTGTCATTGGCCCCAGGCGGTTGTGTCTATATATCGTTATTAATATTATAAATACATGTATATATATATATCGCTATATACATTGACCTGTATATATATATATCGATATACACATATAAAACTATATACGACAAATGTGTTACGTATCATTGGCCCCAGGAGGTTCCAGGACTCATCAGACAGCCCCACGAAGCCTCAGGAAGCACCAGGAGACTCCAGGAAACGCCACGAGACCAAATGAGGCCACGATGCCCCAGGAGCCCGCCAGAGCGCCCGCAACAAACGTAAACTTGATGCGGATGTGAACCTGGAAACCAGGCGTCCAGGAATCCAAGATTCACCAGCAAATCCAAGGCGGCCGAGTTTTGCGCAGACGTCGCTTTTCCATGAAAGCATGATGTCTGCGCAGAATCGATCTTTTACAGAGTGGAGTCCACTCGGAGGCATCTTGGAGCCGTCGCGGGGCCCTCTTCGGCCCTGGAACAGCCTCGAGAGGAAGGGCCGAGATCCGTAGAACTGCCGCCCCCTCTGGAAAGCCCTGGCAAGCGGGTCAAGCCGCTGAGTTTCCTGCTTGTGCCACCGCTATGCAGTTGCCCTATCACCAGCGGGGCAGCGCACTCCAGAACGGGGGCTGTCGAGAGAATGAATGAGTAAGGACTTTTCTTCCGCGGCTGTCGCGCCTTTACCCCGTATACTTGTTCCATGGACATCACACGCAGGCCTTGTGTCCGCTAACGACATCAACAGAGGCCCCGCAACAGCGTTAAACCGCCCAGCGCCCTAATCCCTACGTCTCTTCTTCGGTGCCCAGAGGTCACCCGAAGCGAAGCTCAAGTTCCTCCTCCTCCTCCTCCTCCTCCTCCTCCTGAGGAGGAGGCGGAGGGGAAGAGAAGAGGGCCCCACGACGGCCCAACGCTTCGCGGCGGCCCAAGAGCCCACAAGATCGCCCCAAGACGGCCCAATATGTCTCCAAGATGGTCCCAAAACGGCCCAATAAGGCCCCAAGACGGTCCACGACGCATCCAAGACGGCCCAAGAGCCCCCCAAGACGGCTCCAAGAGTGTGCCGCGCCCACAAGGCCCCAAGAGGCTCACACTCCCCCCCAGGAAGCCTCAAGAGGCTCCCAAGAGGCTCCCAAGATGTCCCTCTCCGCCGCCGTTGTCGCCGCCGCCGTCGTCGTCGTTCCCCTTCAGGGTCGGCGGCACCGGCCGTAAGGCCTTCGCAATATCTTGATCCAGACGTCACTTCTGCAGGGAAAGAGAGAGAGAGAGAGAGACAGAAAGAGAGGGAGAGAGAGAGAGAGAGACAGGGAATGCTCCAATGTCGCCAAGAAAGAAAGGCTCGCGAAGGCCTCATGGTTGACTTCCGTCGTCATCGTCGCCGTCGCTGTCGCCGTCATCGTCGTCGTCATATTCCTCCCTCCTCCTCTTCCTCTTCCTCCTCCTTCTCCTCCTTCTCCTCCTCCCCCTTCTCCTCCTCCTCCTCCTCCTCCTCCTCCTCCTCCTCCTCCTCCTCCTCCTCCTCCTCCCCCGAGAAGCCAGGCGACCAGGATCCCAGAAAACCCGAACCCCCTAGAATTTTGTAAATTTCGTCTTCTTGTCGAAAATTTCAAAATTCTAATTTCGAAATTTTCAAGATTCCCATGGGTTGGGGAATCCGAGAAGCCAGGCGACCAGGATACCCGAAAAACCGAACCGCCTAGAATTTTGGCAAAAATAAGCGTTTTTTTTTCTCCGAAAATTTCGAACATTCCAAACACTTTGAAACTTTCGAAAACAAATCACAATTTTCAGTATTCCCAGGGGCCGGGGAATCCGAGAAGCCAGGCGACCAGGATATCCGAAAACCCGAAACCCTAAAATTTGGGACATTTCGATTTTTTTTGTAAAATTTCGAAAATTCCAAACACTTTGAACATTTCGAAAATTTCAAAAAATGACAATTTCGAAATTTTCAAAATTCCCAGGGGCCGGGGAATCCGAAATCCAGCCAACCAGGAATCCGAAAACCCCACAAGGAATCCCGACAGCCCTGAGATCTCCTCGAGAGGCGTCCGCGATTCCACTGACCCCCCAGGTCCAGGGAGGAGGAAGTTGATGGAATGAGGAGGGGTGCGAGGGGTGAGGAAGAGGAGAAGGAGGAGGAGGAGGAGGAGGAAGAGAAGGAGAGAGGAGTGACGTGAAAGCCCCCAAGATGGTATCCCCTCATGGTCGCCCACTCCCCTCCCCCCCTCCCTCGAACCCCTCCCTCCCCCCCATTGGTCCCCTCCTCCGCCCCGCCCCTCCCCCTGCTTCCCTGACTACCTGACTACCTACCAGACCACCCCAACCCAACCCGAAGACCCGAATTTGACCCGAATTTCGGGTTGGGGGGGTACGGATTCCATATGTTTTTTCCATGTTCCCCGACCCCCCCCACACTGGAAATCGAGGATAAGTTTGGGCCTACGGGTTGGGTTGGGGTGGTTTGGTGGGTGGTGATTCCCTCCGTGGGGCGGCGCCTGCTTCCGGAGAGTGGCCCTGGGAGGGGCTTCGTGCGCCGTCTGGTGGGCTCCGTGCGCGGTCCTCGGAGGCGGGCCGCGCCGATCCGGGCCGAGCCACGGCCCGATCCTGCCGAGGCCTCGCTATCGTCGCGGCCATCGTCGCCGCCTTGGAGTCTTCACGACGGCGGCGGCCTCTGTTCCCGCTGCGTGATTCCAGTGATGGATGAGCGTTTCGACTACAGTCGGGGCGTTGACCTAAGGAACCCTAAATAAGGAACGAGGCCCCTTTTGTC